AGTTTGCACTAGAAAGTAACAGATGTTTTTGGAAGAGCTATTAGAACAAAACAAACAATGAAACATTTAAAAAAACCCCAATCAAAACAACCCTAAAAAGCAAGCTTACAGTGAGGTAATTTCCCCAGTATATAAATCTAGCTTTCCAAAGTTGATAGTCCAGGACTAAGATACCTGTGTCCTTGCATTTAACAACCCTTCTGTGAATCTACAGCCTGCAGCAATGAGTTCTATAACTAGTGTGTATCATGTGAAGGAGTATCTCCTTGTGCTAGTTTAAAACTTCCTGCCAAGTAATCAAGTAATTTTAATTTCTGTTTGGTACTAAGTCATGGCTTAAAAGAAACAACTGTACTACGTCTTTATAGTCCCAGTCACCCTTTCCTGCACTTGTGCAGATTCTGTTGTGACTATTTTGAGATGAAGCATTCAGAAGGCAAATATCTTTTTAATGTAGAGATGTGAGCATTGCACAGGTGAAGCACCTAGTAGCCTCAGCCAGAACCTCACTGTGCTGGCTGCTATGCAAGCACTGAACAGAAATAACTTCACCCAGCCAATTTAGTAATATAACAAAAGATAGACAGGTGAATAAAGACACATAAAAGGAAGGTGAAGAGGAGAAGATAAATTTGGCACTAAAACATGTCCTCTGCTCAAGTGAGTGTTCTGTGATTTTCAAAACTGGACCTGCTATTTAACTGGCATTTGAAATTAACAGTTGGTTTTAAGAAAAATAAAATTCAGTGACTAAAGGCTAAAACAAACAAGCTTAAAGTTGATGCAATATTAATAATCCAATGAGACATTTGTACCTGGGGGAGGAACAGAGCTCAAGGTCTTGCAAACTACAAACAAAGAGAAGAGATAGTGCCGTAAGGATTGTATTTTAAAAAAATAAAATTGTATTTGTTCTACTTCCTAAACACAAAGAACTGTGTCATCATGTCTCAACATACCTTTAACTTCCACTGATGTTTCACACATCCCAGCACAATCCCCTCCCCTGCTGTCTGTCATTTGTGGCTCAGCAGAATGCAGTGTAATTTCTTTCACATTGCACAGTATCTGACCCTGTTAATGCTGGTGCCAAATCTCCTGCTCCAAGCTGTGCTTAAAAAGGAACTCTTCTTAGAGTACCACCGGTTCCTCCTACACCTGTGTTTTCTAAATACACAGAACTCATGGTGATTGTGCTCTCACTGGTTGTCTGTGGGCTGTCCTCTGACAGTGAAGCAGCCTGCCCTCTGAATCGTCCCCGAGGAACAATTTATCCTCCTCGTGTTCTGACTAATAATTATCTCCCAAGTATGGAGAAAACGTTCTTTCACTGTTATTGCCAAAACTTCCTCCTTTCATCAGTGAATTGTATCAATATCAGCCAAAACTATAAACTTTGGAAAAAACAACAAATCTTGAATACATGACACAGAGTATTCCCAAGGCAAACATATCCTCTTTTAATGCCTTGCAGCCACACATTGCATGGTGCAATTCTTTAGTATAGGAAGGCTGGTGGTTTCCCTCTCCTAAATACCGGTATCCTGGTTACTAGCCAAGTACAGTGAAGCCAAAATCTGGAGCCGTAAGCTACTCCCACACCTCCACGTGTCTCCACATGTGCTGCTGGTTTGCTCCCCAGAGCAGCTGGCTAGAAAGTGCAAAGGGCTGGTTCAGGACAAACGCTGGTAAGAATTTGCTAATCTGATGCAATTCAGTATTATCATTAGCAGTGCGGATGACGGATTAGGCTGTACACTTCTTAAACTGACAAATGAGAACAACCTGGAAGGTATAATAGCATGCTGGCAGATGGAGGCTAGAACCCAAAATTATCACAGTGCACTGAAATAAGTAACGTGCAGCTTCAGTGATGCAAAGAGTAGTACTTAATGAACTTCAGCTGTGATAACCAAACTAGCAAATAAGAAATTCTTTAGAAATTATCTGGATGTTTTAGTTATTAAAAAATAACAAGTTAAGCAACAAAAAGCAAAACTGTGAAAAGAGCAAATTTTATACTGGAAATTTTAAATGGAAGCTTTCTACATGACATGGAAAGCTTCCTTTCCATCCAGCATCAGAAAGGATTTGTCTGTTGTATTATGTCCTGGGCACCACTCTTCAAGAAAGATGAAGACCCCTTGGAAAGGGCTCTGAAGAAAATGGAGAGAACAACAAAAGTTTGATTAGTAAATATGGCCCATTAAGAGAGATGGAAAGAATTATACTTGGACCTCTATAACTAAAAGAAGATCATGTGGGAAAAGTGATAAATACTTTTCCTTCAAAGGGAGGAGTAAGAAATTATTTTCCATATACAAGGGCATGGGAAAAGGAATAACCAGTTTAAATTATGGCAGGATAAGACAGACATCAGAAAACAAAAAATAAAGACATTTCTACTATCTGTAGAGCACTAGAAAACATTGCTGAGAGCTTATAATTTCTCCAGTTGTGGCTGATTCTGCCTGGATGCAGAGACAGACTCAGTAAGTCCTCAAACTCTCTTAGAGCTCCTTCTTCAGCCTCCCCTCCACTGCTGAATCCACTGGTGTACCTGCTTTGAAGCAAGGAGCAAGACAGATGCTTTTACAATTAGTTACCATTTTCCACGTATTCCAGCATTTGCCATGAAATGGAAATGTCAATGTGTTATAACAGTCCAGATGGTGGTCACTTCCTTTTTTTATGCTCTGTTTTTTTTCTTTTTTGCTAATATTTTTTGTATGAATTGAGTGTAAGTATTTGCATTCTGCTATACTAGCAAATGCATTACTTGCTCTGTCTTAAAAGGAGATAATATTTGAGATGCTTCTATTAAAAAAGAGAGATAAGTAAAATGTTATAAGAAGCATCGATGTCACTAAACCACAGAGCCTCATGTAATGAAATGGAAGTTGGTAGGAAACACTGTGATGTTTCTGGAGAAAAAAAAATAATCCAATGAATGCACCAAATATGTATTTGTGTGTGTGTGTATGCATGTATTTTCTCTCAGCAAGACATTTTGCTGCAACTAGGCTATAAAGAAATAACTTTATCAGAAACATTTTGTCTATTTGTCTCAGCAAATAGCTATGTAGTTATGCTGGCTGAAGCTTTCTTTTTTTTTTTAATTTAGCACCATAAGAGAAGAACTGAACAGTACTGAGGACTGACTTCAAATAACATTTTGTGTACAAAATTTACAATTTGTACAAATACAAAAAACTGTGACCATTTCTGTCACTGGTTGGTTTTCCTAGCCTTTACCGAACTGAGCATTAGAGAATGTGCTGTTTAGATAACCAGATGCACACTGCAAGGAGTGAGCAGAGAAACCAAGCTCCCTGTGATCAATTTATAATCTGAAAGATGTTTGTGCAAGCCATTTGTGAAAGAGGAACAAATACAAGATGGCTGGCCTTCGCCCCCTGGTGTTTGCTTAAGAATTTATGTAAACCAGCCATAAAAGAAAGAAAATATTAAAACTTAATTTCTTTTGATATAAACAACCAGAGAACACAAGCCATGTTTGTGTGAAGTATTCCATAAGCATAAAGACTCTTTGTAAGACACCAACTCACAAAATTAAAAAAAAAAAAGTAAGCTGAATCATATTTGCTGTATAGAGAGCAACTTGCAGTTTGTACTTAATCATATGCACATAGCAGCATAAAAGACCGACATTAATTTGCTTTAAGAACTCAAGCAACTCAAAGCAGGAGGCGTTGTCTGGGTACTGTGAATTAAGTGGTTTGCATTAATGGGACTCAATGGATCTGCAAATAACTGCTTGGCAGTGCATTAGATGTGGTTGAGTTGCATGCAGATGTTGCAAAATAGTTTTCTGTTAAGCACTTTGTTGCTTGGGTGCATGCAAACGCCATGCAGAGCTTGCCCCGGCAGAGACCCTCATCCGTGAGGCAAAAGTAGCAAATGGAGCAGGGACTTCCAAGGAGCTGAGAACAGAAACCTTCTGCTTGTCACACAGGAAGGACAAAATGGAGTTCAGTGCCTTACCTTGTAGCTTGAAAAAACACAGACAGAAAGCAGTCAGCAAACAACTAGATAGCGAGGCACTGAGGGGCCATGCTGATACACCCAATAACCCAAAACCACTGCAGGCAATCAGCAGGACCACTGCTGAGACAGTGACTGAAAGAAGCAGCAGCTGTTCCCATCCCCTGCAGATCAGAGAGGGAATGCGAAGGGTTTTGTTGGGTTTGGTTTGGTTTTTTTTTTTTTTTTATTCTTTCCTAAAGCATTAATCAAACACATCCCAGGTCTAGATTTTCTAGTATTTTCTCTGGCATTCTAATTAGATGCTCAGTTCTTTCCTTGAAACAAATTTCACACAAGATCATACCACATATCTAACACAAAAGCAGTCTCTGTCCTTTTTCATAAGGAGTTACTGGAATGATTGACTCTGCATGCATTTTCACCCTTGCCCACAGGGTTAGTTCTCAGGAATAACAGCTCATTTTCCCTAAAGCCCACAAGAACATGAAATCTGGAGCTGGTTAGGAAGACAGCTGTTCAAAGTGTGGATGAACTGCATCCCGCTGCTGGTAAGAACCTAGTGGCAGACCTCCAGAGCAGGAAGGGCTCCTTATCTGCTTAAAGAGACCTATACAGTTCTGAACAGTGCAGTATTTTAGTGAGGATGACTGGTCTTTCTAAAGCAAAAGGAAAAATTATGAAATAAATTTGTAAGATGATGCAATGCACAAGACAAGCCTGCACTTGTACTATTATTAGTGCAATATGTACTTGTAAAATATATATAAATACATACATCTGATCCCATCATAAAACTAATCTTCTCTTTTATATTGCAGACTATGTTATTTAAAGGTAAAACATAGCAACCCCAGCTGGTAAATTGCCCAGGTCTATGTGTCATCGAGTATCACCTCCCATTTAGTTTTCTATAAAAGCCATTGCCTAGCAATGATCCCAAGGTTAAGGCAGCTTATTTTCCATTCCTTCCTTACTGAAATAAGCACAGCCTCATGGACCAGCTCGGGAGATTCATTCACTCAGATGCTAAAGGTATGTGTCTAGACATGTTAGAGTGCTTTACCAAGAGTTTTAGTTACATTTTGGTAGTTTTTTTCAGGATTGACAATCAAAATGAGAAAACTTCTCTTGTTTCTCTTGCAATGTTGTCCAAAAATAGCAGTAGAGTACATTTTCAAGATACAAAGAAGGGAGATATGAAAAAAGCTCGTAGAAAAAAAAAATCTTACATTAAAGTAGTGAGGGAAAGTCCCTAGCTATTGGTCCTTTATGCATTTAGAATAAAGCTAACAGAGTTTTAACTAGGCAATGACTTATCTGAATGATACCATACTTTAATGATTTTTAGACTAAGGCAAAAAGGAAATTACAAATCTAGCTAGACTAACTAACCCTTGCACAGAGGGCACATATAGCCTCCCTGAAACAACTCCTCAGTTAAGAGCTCTGGTTGAAGCTGAGCTATCTTTTAAAAAGCCGTTCTTTTTTAGCAGGTTCACTAATAAATATTCAATCACAATTAAACATTGGGAATGCAAAAATTAAAATGCTGTACCTGATTGCTGCTATGCAAGAGCTTAGTTTCCAGTTCTTCCCACTGGATCCTGTTACATCTTTTTCCCCATGAGATCAAAGAGCTTATTACTATTACCTATCAGTTCCGTATAGGAGCAGTTATAGCTTGTGATCAATTACCTGCTAATAGGAGTTTAAAGAACCTTTAAATTTAATTTATGATGTTAACATTAAAGATATGTGAAATTCTTGGGTTTTTATATAAGCTCTTAGTAGTATGTCCCTGGCCATGAATCCCTGGTTATCTATACAGGGAATTAATTTCTGCTTTAACAACATTGTCTGGGAAATCAGGTTTATCTGATTAACCAGGATGGTTCTTGAGGCTTCTTTGTGTTCCCTTCAGTGTTTCCTGAGGAAAATAATCTGCAGCCCATCTGAACGTATGAGCTACCTTACTAGTTCTTAGATGCATGTTCCATGTTTGGCTCCAAAGAAGTGGTTTGCTCCTGGACCCGAATTCCTCTCATTTAGTTATCTCCTTGCTTTTTTTTACTTATCTATCCTTTAATCTTCAGAACTTCTATAAATATTGGTTTTATTCACATCTCTGACAAAAAGAAATTGTATTGACTATGTTAAGTGTACTTTGTATTGCCAATAAAAGAACATAGCGCTCTCAAGACCTTATTGTCTAATATGTCTGAGGTCTAATGTCTGTCTAAAGTCTTGCAAGACTTTACTATCTAGCAGCAGCTTGGATACTCTAACCCACTTACAGCTAGTTCAACTGTGTTGGTTACACAACCTTAGCCCCGATACACACAGCCCAAGTTTTACACAGCATAGAATGAAGGGTTAATAACTTATACTCTCATACCCACTGTCATTATTTTTGTGTATTATGTTAGTATTATTAACTGAGACCTGGAATAACCATTCTGTTATTCATTATATCACTGGAACGTACCTATTCCTCACAAACAGACCAAATCCTGAAATGAATGACTAGTCCTGGCTTACACATTTCATACTATTTTCCAGTCTCCCATGTGTGAGAAATTTCATATTAGAGATTTACCACTTGACCCTATGTAGTTAATCTTTTTTCCTTTTTTTTTTTTTTTTCAGTAGAGCATTTTCTAATGAAATCTGCAATTAGAGTAAGGACTCTTAGAGTCACTGCCCTAGTGGTGCTAATTTGGTAATTCCTCTGGCAAAAGACAGTAATGAAAGCAGCAAGCAGGATGATATTAGATAACCTTACGCATTAACAGCAAATCCTTCACAATGAGATAAAACACCATGAATACTCCCTGCAGTAGCTATGCACAGGAGTTAACATACAGATTAATCACCTATTTGCATAGATTCTAAGTTACACTTACGCTGATTTAGCTAATTAGTGGGTTTTGATAGCAATGGACTTTTATGTAGGGATATGCTCTCATCCTCTTGCCTAGCACAGTGTGCACAGGAGGAATAAACACACAGTGCATTCCCTGGTGAAAAGGGTCTGACCTGCTTGTAGTCTCCTGTTGGAGTCTCTGGGCAGCAGATGCAGACACGTGCTCAGAATGTACTTTGCTCTGCTGTTATTTGGGGAACACTCAAAGTGCTTGTCCCACTGCACGCACACCGGTGAGAAAAAAGCCTACAAATGCCAACTACTCAAATGCAGGAAAACCAGAAATCCAGCTCATTCCAGTGCAATGTACAAAGGACACATGGCTGAACAGCTTTGTAATAGTCACCGGAGCTAGGAGATAAACTTTTGAACAGTTTTCCAGCAGAAAACTGATGATAAAAAGAGGTCACAGTAAAGTATACTAGTATTGATCAAAGTTCTTACATAGATCTTTAAAGAACAACAAAGAAAATTCTTTCCCTTCAGAACCATTTTGAAATCCAGCACCATCTGGGATTTCATTATCACAGTCCAAAGACTGTGCAGAGACCAAAGCAACATCCCAGAGTGCTGATGTGGTCATGATAGCTTTGGCAGATGACTCTTACATCCCTTTGTTCCTTTGCCCAACTGTAATGGCCTCAGGTAAATCAGTTTTATGAAGGGTATATTCTCTTCCTACAACACATGCCACACTATTAAATCTATTTTTCCTTTTTGTTAAAAAAATGGAATTAGGGAAGCATTTAATTGCTGTTAAACACTGATCTAAATAATGTACTTTCACATCCTAATTATTATTGTCTCACAAACATTCTTTTATTTACTGTTCTTATGGACATTCTCAATGACAGAATAAAGTAGCGGATAACAATCTGTAAATGAAGAGCTTTGCGAAGAGACCGGCCCAATTATGACTAGATACAGGGAAAGGTCTTAAGTTTCTCTCATTTGGATGTTTTGAGAGAGAACATTCTGTTCAATCCACACTCAAAAGATCATTCAGCAACAAGCATAAGAAAATTACTACTTTCCAGGTATCGAGCATATTCATTACTGTTAAACCTCTTAAACTTAGATTTTTAAAATGGTTTGGTTTGGTTTTCTTCAGTTTCTAAAAACCACAGGGTAAATGAAAACTAAAAACATTCATTTCAAAGTTATCGAAACAGACTAGCATGAACCTATAGAAAAATATTTCCTTTTGAACTCGGAACCTTTCAAGTTTTATCCATAAACTTTTAATAATGAAGGAATGAAATTCCCCTTCATATTATTCCCCTTTTACCTTATTTCTCAGAGGAAGTGTGAAGGACCAGGCCTTTAATGGGATGTTACTGTAAAAATCAGATGCTTAGCTTTTGACAGTAGGTTGACAGCAACCTAAGGTTTCAGATCACTGAGGTATGTCAAGACCCAATCTTTTCCACAGAAACGGAACTACTCTTTTATATCAATGTGCTTAAAATTGTGTGCTTAGGATATCACAAAGTATAGTCCGTTCTCAGGCAACACTGAGCTAATCTCCTAGCACACAACTCGTACAGGGCTCTAGACCATCCCTACAAGCAAGTTCACTACTTAAAGAGAGAATTTACTGTTAAAGACCAATTTTACAACTGCTTTCCAGTATCAGAATTACACAGTTTCCTAAGTGCCATTTAAATTCTAATTTTAAAAATGTGTTTTCACTTTGTTCAATGTTAAGGAATATCAGAAAAGATACGATTGTCCTTAATAAAGAAACTGCTGCCACATTTGGAAGACAGAAGAAAGTACCATCAGGAGTTTGCCTCATCCACTTCGTTTCATGGAGTGCATAACATTGTCCAAACACAGAGCAAGACTCGCAAAATGCTGTGGCTGCTAGTAGTCACAGGCTGTCTTGCCATTGTTATTTGGCAAGTCTGCAGTCGCTTCATCTACTACTTCAGCTGGCCAACCACAACTACTGTGGTGGTTCAGTATGTGGAAAACGTCAAATTTCCTGCCGTGACTTTTTGCAACTTGAACAGGTAAAAGTTCCATTTGTTGTTTGCTTTTGAGAGGCAACACCTTTCTATCTGAAAGCAGTCAGGTTCCGCAACTTGCTTGAACAAATCACATAAAACAAGGAAAACACGGTTCTGAGGGGCATGTCTTCCAAACCACTGCATGAGATTCAAATGAAGAGGAAAATACGAGAATGCAGAAAGGGAGGTTGTTTTTTTTTAAATCTTCCCTCTCCTTCAGATGAGCAATAGCACTACAGATTTTTAAGTGTCAAAACATAAGTTGGAGTAGAAAAAACTCTGTGGTGTTGCTCTTTATGTGCAAGTGTTGCTTCTACAGTGTAACTAGGGGACAGTCATCAGTCACATCCAAGTTAAAAATAAAAGACAAGATTTGCAAATAGAATCCTCGTGCAAATGTAGAAATCTTGGGCAAAGCAGATACTTTTCTTTCCGAGGTGCTCAGCCATTATGGTTCCAACTGATATCAGTGGGATCTGCAGGAGGGAAGCATTTGGTTTGTTTGTAGTTCATGTACCTAAACAGGAACTTCACTACAGATTTCTACATTTGAAGATAACAGGCAAGATTCAGATGCAGCCACTTGGAAAATCACGTAATAAACCCATGGCCTGAGATTTAGAGCAAATATGTACGTTAGGAAGAGTTTTAGAAATACAGAAAGTTTGCCCACATTGTCACCTCAAGAATTGTAAGCTTTCTTCTACCTTTTGCTAGCAGAATCAGCCAGAAGTCTGGGTCTCAAATGTCTGGAGCCCTTCTGCCTTGCTAGACCTCCTTCCCCCCACCCTGCGTAAAGCCACCCTGGGTTATACGGCACAGCATGCACTGTGGATAGGAGTCCCTCTTGATTACAGTGGGCTGTCTATTATAAAAATGCCTCACTTCTTGTAACTATAATGACAGCACTACAACAGTTAGCTACCGAGCATGGCCGCTGTTCACCTAACCAACAGTTTGCTGCCACATCCATCTGTTGTCCACGCTGTGCTTATCCTTCCCTCCTCCTTTTAGTAACCAAGTTTGATCTTTTGACTCTAATTTGGTTGTGAAGAGTTGTTCCTACCGATCTTGCCCAAGTTGGGGCATTAAGATGTACTATACAGATACATCAATATGTTTTTTAAATAGAATTATATAAAATGGCAATTCTAAAGAATGTGGTATTGTAGTTTCATTTGTGTTTATTCTCTTTTCAAACTTATAACTGTTCTGTAAACCCTTACTTTACTTCAATAAAGGACTTCAGTGTTGTATATCAGGAAAGCACCTCCAACACCTCATCATGGGTTTGATATTTTTCAAGTGGATTCTAGGAGTAAGGATCACCCTTGGTTTACACCACTGTGTCCCCAGCCCCAGAGCTCATGGAAAGGTAGACTCTCTCTACACTGGGGTGCAGTGCAGTAAAGCAGGTACATGTGATTACTGCAAAAGCACTTAGAAATCAATTTTCTAAATGATGGAAGACAGCTTTTTTGAAAGGAACAGCTCCTCCCAGCTACTTTCCCACATGTAAATGCAGCTGTTCAGCTTGTCATCAGTTCTACAAATCTGATTGTTGGCTTATGCAGATGTCTAATCTACTTGGGGGTTTTGTCTTTTATTTTTTTAATAAGCAACCACACACAACAGAATTGTTTCCAATATCACTGACAAGAATAACCACAGGAAGGTATCCATTTTCTGTTTTCAGATACGAAAATACCTTCCTAGAAATGGAGAATATATTGTTTATTCATGTTGTAGAGATCAAAGTGTAATGTGGTGGGTGAGAATCACTTCTAGTTTGCAAGCAGACAACAAATCATGCCACAGACGTGCAGGAGCAGCCTTGAGATCAGTCCCACAACTCTGCAGAACACCAAGTAATTCTTTCTCCTTCCCACTGACAGGTTTCAAGCTCATGCAGTGAGCAACCTCAAAATAATTTTTTTAATTTGGAACATTGTGACTGGAGCTCTCCCAAAATTTGCTATGAAAAATAAATATTCTCAAGAGCTACACGATTTCGTTCTTGGGAACCAGAACTTCAGCATCAGAGAGTTTACAAGGAAAAATGGGTTCTATCTGAACAGCAGCACACTGCTAGAATGTGAATTTTTTGGAAAGCCCTGTTACCCACAGGTAAATATTTTTTATTTTACTAAAACAGTAGCATGGAGGGGAAGGGGATGTATTCTTACTAGTTGAGACATCTAGCTTTGCCAGCTACTCCCCCTGTTTTCCCTTTACAGTCGGCCAATGGAGAAAAAAAAAAAAAAAGTCCTGCTTTAAATCACCTCGAGGACCCTGATTCTCCCACTGACCGCAGAGACAGCCTGCTGGACTCCCTGAGCTGTAAAATGGGATTTCAGTCTAAATTGCTCTCTGCCTAGTGCCACTTCAGCACAGATAGCAGCCTTTGAAAGCTGCCATACCTCCAGGCTGTATCTAGAACCTTTTCCATAACCAGCCTGTAATGAAGTTTGAACTGAGTTCTTTGCATGACACGACTGCACTGTTTTGTTCCTGAGGTCAAAAACATAGACAGCCATGGTAACTATATATGCAGCCTCTACAGGCATTTTAAAGAATAAGGTGAAAACAACGCAGCTTTTAGAATTTCGGACAACAGCCAAAGAATATGATAATCCAGTTTTTATGTTGATTGTTCCACAGAGCAATTCCCAACTTAGATGGAAAACATGAACAGAAAAGTCAGGCCTATATTCTTGCAGATTAATCTAAACTTCAGATATTCTGTAGCTTCTAAATTTAGGCATTGGAGAGTTCTCTTAACTGAAAGACACTAGTACTAATACCTAAAACTAAAGCAATGAGATTCAGTCATACTAACAAATGTGTTCAGTTAAATGATGAAGTGGCTTTGGGACAAAATGCAAATATTGTACTTTATTTTGTTAAACCATCTTCACTAAACATCTACTGGAAAAATTTAACAAATTGGTTTTGAATATATAATTTCTACATTATGTAACAGGTATAGAAAAACAACAGGACCTTATTAAATTATTCTGACCAGATCATGGATATTAATAAACAATGTGAAATTTCTCCTTCAAACTTCATTCTCTATAGAAAGGGATATTTTTTGGATATCCTTTTGGATATTTCCATCAATTACCACTTTTCCGATTGCAATATTTAGCACTGCCTTTGCAGAAAAAACCAACCAACCAAACAAACAACCAGTAGTCCATCTCCTGCATTGTGACTCACTAGTGAAACTTCAAGCGAACGTTCTTTCATTTTACTCTTCCCTATTTTCCTTTACTAAAGGATTTTGAACATGTTTTCACTGAATACGGAAACTGCTTTACTTTTAATCATGATAATATTCCAGCAAGAAGAGTGAGTTTGTCCGGAAGAGGCTTACATTTACTTTTTGATGTCCAACAGGTACAGCTATCCTAATGATTACAATGAATCGTGTAATAACCTATAGATGAGTAGAGATGTTTTGTTTGGAGGTTGGTTTGGGGTTTTTGTTTGGTAGGTTTTACACAGACCTTTAGAATTTAATGCACAAAAATCTGTATTAAGACTATTTCTGATTGAGAGGGTATTTTAAAGGAAAGATCTAATACAGACTTAAAAATTCAGAATTATTATCAACTGTCCCCAGCTAAACGGTTCTGAAAGCTGTGAGTGTAAATCTGTATATATACACAGTCCACCTACAACTGAAACACACCATCAGAGCAGTAATTTGATTTTATGCAAGGACTTTGGGATGACATTTCATTTTAATAAAAGACATAGTAGGGAAGGTCATATAATGCCAATTTCTAAGAAGTACTGAATTTTAGTTGCAGCAGCAGCTGTAAGTGCTCAGGGCCAGCTACGATCTGTTTTTTTTGCACTGTAAATAGTCTCTGATCTTATTAGATTTGTCTTTGACCAGCAAAACCAGAAAACTCAGGGATTATCACCTTGGGAGATCAGGGAAGAAAACTAAAATCTAGAGTGGTAAGAGACTTAGACATTCACTTTTATTTTCTAGGAATTATGAGAGAGGAGTGACAGGTTCTGGATAGAGTAACAGAAAGTTTACTGAAACATGATGGGCTGTTGCAAGTAAAAGGAACAAATCCAAGTTATGAGTAGAAGTTCATCTATGCCTTCTTGCTTTTTAAATTGGGAGATAACAGAAGGAATAAAGTTTATAGTAACTGGAATGAAACCCAGATAGGCAATCAATAAAGGAAATTTAAGTCAGCTTGCTTCTATACTTTTCTGTAAATTACCTAGGATGTGACTAGAGATACGAGACAAAGTAAAAAAAGCATAGTACCATTTTAAAATATAGCTAAAGCTTCAGAGGGTAAGCAAAGCTGAAACTATTTTAAATACTTCTTTTTCTATCAGGAACAATTCACTGATGAACCTGATCTCGGTTATTCTGACACTGGTATAACTTTTGTTATCCATTCACCCAAAGAGCTTCCACACTTTGATGGTTTAGGTTTATTAACACCAGTTGGCATGCATGCACGAGTCGCAATCCGCCACCTGAAGGTAAGCGCTTTGTCCATCAAGCAGAAATATTGGTCTTTACTGTCTCTAATTCTGAAGTGTGACAATGAATTAGACATTTTGGAAGTTAAAATATTTGTCATGCCAAAGTGACTCCTAAAAATAAACATTTCCTCCAGACACAAACAAAATTACTGCTATTTTGGTGGAGGAGGTAATGTCATTGGTATTCATAATCTGTATCTACTAAAGCCAGCCTTTCTTTCCCAACATTGTACAAGGACACCACAGCAGTTCTCCATCAACTTGTGCTGTAACTATTAACAGTCTCTGATTCCTAGTGGAATCCAAGTGGAGTGGACTGCCCTTCCACACAAGGCTGTCTGATCAGGTCCTGCTTTTGCTGTGAGAGAGAGGAAATGATTTTATAATCCCAAAAGTGCAAACTGTAATTGCCTCCAATTAAATCACAGTGTTACTGCTCATGGATTCAACGTGCTTCCTTTGGCACTTTAAAATGTGAGAATATAGTATCTAAATTTAAAACAGAGACAAAAATTTGTATTTTCTCTTGTTATTATTTTCCTACAGTCAATTTATCCAAGAATACCCGTGGGGAGAATGCAATATTTTCTGTTGTTATTATTTTCCTACAGTCAATTATCCAAGAATACCCGTGGGGAGAATGCAAGCCTGATATAAAGCTTCAGTACCACAAGATTTATACTACTAATGGATGTTTGCAGGAAAAGAATGCAGAGCACGGTATATTCAGGACTGGTGTGGCTGTTTGCCTTTCATTCTTCCGGGTATTTCTCAGGAATATCATAATACTATATCTTTATCATCTTGCTAGGAGACCTCACCTGTTATTGAACAGCAGAGATAAGGCATATGCTTGAGGGATATCTACAGCTGGGATTAACTAAAATTATATAATTTTTTTTTTAAATTCAGAGAAAACAATTAACATTTTTGGCCAGCTGTAGACCTAGCACCTGATCATTGTCTATCCTTAAGATGCAGGCCAAAAAACTTGAAAGAAAAATTATGCCTCAGGGCTGTGAGACAAGTCTTCAACCTGACTTCCTAAAAGAGCTGGAACTAAATCCATAAGAAGTCATAGATTTTCTCATGTACTGCAGAAAACCTACTTTGCAGGTGTTCAGCA